AGGACCCCACAAGGATCTGAAGTGAGATTCAGAGCCCACAGAGACAGTGAAGAGACCTCAAGGCAGAAGAAGGAGGTAGCAAATGGCACGTTCTCCCTGAGCCCTGTGGGAGGGACAGCTCCAGTCTGCAGACCCACTGTGACTACCAACAACCCCAGGGGCCTCCACAGAGAGACAGACACACTAGCAGAACGGAGTAGTGACACAGCAGACGGCAGTGGCTAATGAGTTACTTGGGTTCAGACATCCCCCGGGAGAGGGCAGCTGGCCAGTAGCCATCTTTGAGAGAGGCCAGCTGAGCTCAGAACTCAGAGCAGCTGTGGGCTGGCTCCATCTAGCAGCTCCCAGTGTCAGGATGAGGTGGAACCAAGTTTGAGTCAGCAGGAGGTCAAGGAGCCAAGTTCAAGCCCCAGGGGAGACAAGTTTAAGCCAGCAGGAGGCACAGGGAGTGTTCAGGCTGAGTAAATCAGGTTCTACCCTCAAAGCCAGAAACTAGGCTGAACTTCAGTGGAACTGAAGGTGCAGGCTTGCTGGGATTATCCACTACTCTGCCATAAACCTGCAGCCGGCTTGCTGGGAGTAATCAACACAGACCCTGTGCGCTGTCTGCCCACCGTCCGCCAGTAACAGCAGGGACACACCCTGAAGTAGACTTTTTTTTCTTGTTTATTTTTGTTTCTGTTTTGTACTGTTTTGTTTTCTTTTTTCTTGATTATCAGCTTGTTCTTGTTTTTATATGAGTATGAACATTGTTTCTAGCTTTTTTGTTCTGTTCTTGTATTTTTCTTCTCTCCTGTCCTGTCTTCTTTACCAGTTTCCCAAAGTTCACATAATCTTCCTTTGTCTTCCAGCCTTGCTTCTAATTTCTTTCTCTTCTGTTTCTCTATTTTGCTCCCTTAGCCCTTTTTATATTTTCTCCTATAAGGGTAAAATAGGCATATTTACTATATAGAATTTTCTGGTTCATTTTAGATTTTCTTATATAACCACAAATACAGTTAAAGGTGACAAATTAATAGCTACCACAGTTTGTCATTTTCTAGGCTGTGTTTGATATTGCTGTTGCTGATTGTTCTACTTTAGCTAAGGTGACATAATTGTTCTAATCAGTTTTTCTTCTGGTATGGCAATACTGAGATTGCCTAAGGGCCATAAAGAGTGCTATAGGCCATTGCCAAAGAACCTCGGGCTAGGTTAAATAAGCAGCAACTTCTCATGCCCAATAAGTTAAAAGAGGTAGGATCTTGCAACTGAATCAAAACCCAAAAGCCAGCTATACCTGGAGGACATCTCTGAGAAGTACTCATTTCCTATGGGTTCTCAATACTAGCAATAAAGTTACCTGCCATAAGCAATCCTAGGAATTAAATAATAATAGAATATGAGAAGACAGGCAAGATGAAACCCCAGGCTTCCAGCTCGCCAAAGGCAAACTCAGGGAAAGTGAGGTGGAACAATTAAAAAGCCACCCACCTAGACTCTGAAGTGGTAACAGTGGAAGTAACAAAGCAGATGAATGAGGCTCTAGAAAAAAATCAAATCAGAAATAATCTCTCAGGTAACTACAGAGTTGGTGATCATAATGAAAGATATGGTTAGTGACTCTAGAGTGGATATGGATTAAAATATAGAGGACTTAGGAAAATGATGGAAACCATGAAGGCCCAATATAGGAAAGAAATGGAGTCTGTGAAACAGATTCAAACAAATATGCAGGAGATTAAACATTCCAGTCAAAGTGTATGCAGCAGAATGAGCCAATGTGAGGACAATATCAGATATACACAACATAGGATTGTGAGTAGCGACCATAAAAAGAAAGATTTATTTAAAATATCAAGGCACTGATCCAAAAGGTACAATATACATTGTGCAAGGGAAAGAAACTGCTCAAAAAGGAAAGAATAGCTGGGATGGGGGAAAGGAGAAAAGAAGGAAGGAATATATATAGACACACACACAAGATAGCTAAGGTAATTGTACTACTAATTTCTATTAGTTCATTGAAAGGAACAGTTAGTGTTCATATTGTTTGATCAATGTTACATACCTATATCTGGTAATCTGAGCAGCTACTTTGAAGATAATAATATGCAATATAATGACTACTGTTAATTTCCATCTTGGTTTGAAATTCTGTATCGATTTTATTGGGTTTTTTAAAATTATTCTCTTTAAAATTAAAAAAAAAAAATAGGCCAGGTGTGGTGGTGCACACCTGTAATCCCAGCACTTGGAGGCTGAGGCAGGAGGGTCACTGTGAGTTCAAGACCAGCCTGGGCTACAAAGTGAGCTCAAGACCAGCCTGAACTGCAT